ACACACACACACACACACACACACACACACACACACACAAAACAAACTAATTTTTTTCAACTATCACCTACTTTATAGAAAATTTAAAGAGAAACTTATAAGAGAAAACATAAAATATGATGAAACAACCAAGAGAGTTAGAACTTTATCCCCAAGTTCTAACTGAACTCGAAAAGGTAGTATCAGAGGATAATATTGATAGGTTAAAAAAACTAAGCAATTTAATTGACAATATAAGTAATGCAGAAGATAAAATAACTTTGAGAAATTATTATGATAATGCCAGCAACCCTGTTAGAAGCACTAATTTAGTTATCTTAGCTTGTAAATATAATAAAGTAAAAATTTTAGAGTATCTATTTGATAGTGATAGTAGAATTATAAATAATCTGTCTGTTGTTATTGGAAGAAACACTATATTACCAGATGATAAAGATGAAACATGCCATAATGCGTTTTATTATGCTTTACGTTCATGCAATGTCGATCTTCTTGATACACTTATTAATAAATGGCCAGGCAATTATTTTTCTGTTTATTTAGGAGAATTGGATATAATTCTTTCAAGAGCTTATGAAGAATTAAAGTTAAAGGATGTACCACTGTCAGACGAAATAGAAATTTTTGTTCAAAATAAGTTAGTAAACCTCCGTTTTTTCTCTAATATTTCTCGACAAGATCAGAATGTAAAGAGTTGTCTTGATGATGATAACATCAGAGATCGCATTAAATTAACACTTCAAAACATTAGCTTGCTAAAGAAAGATTACTCAAACACGGAAAAAGTAGATAAAAGGTTTTTATTTGTAACAAAATTTATCGCAAAAAATATTCATATATTAAAGCGGCAGTTGAAATCAACCTATGATAGATTACCTTGGGAAGAAATGGAATTTTGTTTAGTCAGTTTTGTTTTCTCTCACATAAAACGAAAAGAAATTAATCTATTTTATAATGCTACATTGAATAAAAGCAAAATATTAAATTACTTAGAAAACTTTGCAAAAAAACTTAAAAATGAAAAAAAAAGTGTGAACATTAATAAACTTCCAAATTTAAAACGCGAAGAAGTTGTAAAAATTATTAGAAAAGATCCTCAATTTAAAGAGTTGTATAATGATTACCAACAAATTAGGGATATCCATTCTTTAATGAAAATAAGTGATTATATAAAGTTTGCGTTATCGGCTGATTCTAAAGAGAGGGAAGGACAATTAATTATTACAAGGGTTTTACAGGTTATCGGCGAGCATTTAAAAAACACTTTAGAATCCCCTAAGTTATCTGATACTACAAGTGAGCATTTGCTATTATCGTTACCAGAAGATACAAGAAAAATAATGAGAGATTTACGTGATTCACTATCGCATGCTGATTCACTCTCCAAGAGAACAGAAATTGAGAAAAATACAGACGTTTTTTTATTGGTGTTCAAAAGGATACTAAAAGAATCGATAATGTAATTACTGATATTCTTTTTAATAAAAAAATTAAAACGATCAGAATACTGCTGAAAAGAATTGCTGATAGTGAAAGCTTAGGTGAAATAAAAGAAATTGCTAAAATATTTAGTAATGTTAAATTGGATGAAATGATATTGGCAGATTTTAAAATGATGGAATACGAGAAACTTGAAAAACTCATTAAAGAATTAAGCGATAATATAACTGACAAGACGGATTATGAAAAGAAATTATTTAATAAAATTAATAAAATAATCAATTGTGCAGAAACTCAATCAGAAAATATCAGAACTGATTATAACAAAGAATTTCAATTATTAAGATGCTTAATTATCATGAGTGACACATTTAAGATTGACCACAAAGTTATTAAAAAAATAAAATTTTTTGCTAATAAAGCATTAGAGAAAATGACTCTAAGAATAAAGCCTCATAGCCATAAGGAAATTGCTGTGTTGTCAATGAAAATTTTTTATAGTGTCAAATCAAGAATACAACATGACAATCTTGATAAATTAAACGCATTAATTTGCGAAATTCTCTTTTATATTGAATTTGGAACAAGTGACATAGAATGGATTAAGAAATTAAGAGAAATGTTAAATGAAAAAGGTTCGCGTCCTACACGTAAACAAAGGAAGACTTATAATGTAGAAAATGTAGAAAGTGTAGAAAAATATAATAACCAACTTGCACTAAAAATATTTGAACTAAAAAATATTTTAAGCAAAAACGCATTGAATAATGAATTTATTAAAAAATTACCTTTCTATAAAAGTAATAAAAAATTGCAAGCAGTAGTAGAAATGCTTGTTCTGGATATAATGTCAATTTTAGATATCTTAAAGCATAACTTAATAAAGCAAAATAGTCTACTGCTTTTAGATGCTAACACTCCTTTATTAATTGGAAAATGTTTACGTAATCATTTAGCTCATAATAATGCCTTAGCTGATGTACTGTTAACTGATCCTTCAATAGCAGTTATTTTGAACGCTAAAAAGCTTACTGAAGAAAATATAAAAAGCAAAGAAGTAATTGATGAGGAAGATATTAAAAGCAAAGAAAACATTGGCGAGTTAGTAACCAAAAATTCTTTCAATTTGGGAGAGAAATACTCTCAAGACTTAGAGACCATTACTAATCAGGAAAGAATGTTTGCTGCTTTGAAAGAAGGAAAGCCAGACAACTTCAAGGATTGTCTCAAAAAAGGTGCAGATATTAATGCTAGAAGTATTAATTCATGGACCACGTTACATTTTGCTGCTAAGGGATCCAGTCCTGAAGTTATAAAACTTATTCTTGATCAAAATTTAAACGTTAATGTGAAAGATATTAATGGTCAAAGCCCATTACATATTGTTGCTGAGCATGGAAGGGAAAATGTTGTAGAATTTTTTATAAAAGAAGGTTCATGTATTGATGATTTAGATAATAGTTGCAAAACGCCACTACATGTCACTGCTCAAAAAGGTCACAAGGATATTGTTGAAATTTTATTAAAAAATAAAGCTAATATTATTGCTCAAGATAAAATTGGTTTTTCACCTTTACACCATGCAATAGTGAATAATCATATTGATGTTGCTGAGATTCTATTGAAAAAATATGTAAACGTTAATATTAATGAAACTATAAGTTGGTATCTTACCCCGTTGCATGCAGTTGCAGAGAGGGGTCATCTAGAGTTAGTTAATTTCTTGCTTCAAAATAATGCAGATGTAAACGTTAGAGATGATGAAGATTGCACACCGTTACATTTAGTCGCATTAAATGGCCATTTGGAAGTAGTACGTGCTTTAATCCTAAACGGAGCTAATGTTAACGCTAGAAGCATAAGTGGTGTTACACCATTACACTGTGCAGTAGTAAACGATCATGAGAAGATAGTTAATATTTTATTGAAGCATGGAGCTAATGTTAATGTTGTTGACAAAATCAATAATAATACACCTTTGCATTATGCAGCAAATAATGGGCACGAGAGAATAATTAAGACTCTACTAAAAAATAAAGCCAACGCTAATATTGCCACTGTTGCAAGTAATGAAAGTGTGACTCCATTGCATCTTGCTGCCCAGAATGGTCATCTAGGAATAGTTGTTGCTCTACTTAACTATGATGTTGACATTCATGCTAAAGCTCAAAATAACGTTACACCATTATATTGTGCAGCAAAAAATGGTCATAAGAAAATTTCTGAACTTTTAATAGAAAAAAGAGCAGATACTAATGCAAAAACTAATAATAATTTAACACCACTACATGTAACTGCTCTGAACGGTCACGAAGACATTATTAACCTTCTAATAGAAAATAAAGCTGAGGTTGATGCAATAACAGATGACGGTAATACACCGTTACATCTAGCTGCTCTAAACGGCCACAAAAATATTGTTGATCTTTTAATAAAAAATAAAGCTGAAATAGAGGCTAAAACTTATCACGGTATTACACCATTGCATTTAGCTGCTCTAAACGGTCAAGAAGATGCCATTGTTTCTCTAATAAAAAATAAAGCTGAAATAGAGGCTAAAACTTATGACGGTATTACACCATTGCATCTAGCTGCTCTAAACGCTCACGGAGATGCCATTGTTTTTCTAATAAAAAATAAAGCTGAAGTAAATACTAGAACTATTAAAGGTTTTACACCGTTACACATTGCTGTTGCAGAAGGCCACAAAGACATTGTTAATCTTCTAATAAAATATAAAGCCCACATTGATGTAAGAAATAATGCAGATAGTACACCATTACATACAGCCGTAAAAGCAGGTCATGAAGAAATCGTTGAGATTTTGGTAACAAAGGGAGCCGATGTTAATGTTAAGAGCAACAACATGACACCATTGTTTTCTGCTATAAAATATAATCAAAAAGAAATTGTTAAAGTTCTTATATCAAATGGAGTTAAAGTTAATGGAGACGACATTGAACTTTTATCACCAGCAGTACTTGCTGGATATACAGATATTGTAGAAATTTTGCTAGACAATAAAGTCGATGTTGGTATAAAAGACCCAAAAAATGTTGCACCATTACACTTGGCTGCTACTAAAGGTCACAAGAATGTAGTAAAAGTTCTGTTAACAAAAGGAGCTGATGTTGATGCCATAACTATTAATAACCTAACACCATTATATTTTGCAGCACAAAAAGGTTATCAGGAAATTGTTGAGATTTTAATAACAGGTGGAGCTAATGTTAATGTTAAATCTGACGAAAATGTTACACCATTACATATAGCTGCAACCTATGGTCATGGTACGGTTGTAAAACTTTTATTACATAAAAAAGCAAATATTAATGTTAAGGATAATAAGAACAAAACACCTCTAGAATTAGCAGTGGCACATGGTCATTTAGAAGTGGTTAAAATGTTACTACTGCAGGACTACGAAAAAATAGATATAAATGCTAAAAGTAATAATGAATGGACGATATTGCATATTGCTTCACAAAAACATAACTTAGAGATGATAAAGTATCTAATAGATAAAGGATCTGATGTTAATGCTAAAAATGCCTCTGGTTTAAAACCTGTACATATTGCAGCGAGAGAAGGTTATAAATTAAGATAATGTAGAGTTTTTCCTTAGTAAGGGGTTAAGTATTTATGAACTTGATTTAGCTTATAAGACATTATTACATTATGCTGCAGAAAATGGTCAATTAGAAGTTGCGAAGTATTTGATAGCACAAGGCGCTGACGTTAATGCTAAAGATGTTAATGGCTTAATTCCTATGCATATTGCTGCTAATCACGGTTATAAAGATTTTATTAAAGTTTTATTACAAAATGGAGCAGTTTATAACGCTGTTGACCATTCTTATAGAAAACCACTAGAAATGTCTAATGACGAAAACGTTATCAATCTATTAACATTCACTAAGAATTTGTTTAAGGCTGTAAACCGTAATGGTTCTTCAAAAGTTGAGCATTACATTAAAAAAGGAGCGATCGTTAACGGCAAAAATGCTAAAGGAGCATCATTATTGCATTATGCTGCGTGGAAAGGCTATGATAGGATTATCAATATTCTGTTACAAAATAAAGCTGATCCTAATGCAGTTGATAAGAAGGGATTTACCCCTCTACATTATGCTGCTAAGTTCTGTCGTTTAAAAGTTGTAAAGCTCTTATTATCTAATGGTGCAATATATAATACAGTTTCTGATGATGGTAAAACACCGTCAGATTTTAGTGTAGATAAAAGTATTACTCGCTTATTTCAATTACTGCGTGACTCATTTGAAAATATTAAAAATAATGATTCTCAAGTTATTAATGATCTTAACAAGATAAAGGATATTGATACAGTAAAAGCAATAATGAATGCTTGCGATAGAGAAAACAAAACGCTAGTAGTTGCTGCAGTGCATAGTAACTTTTCAAAAGTCAAACAGTTAAAAGAGGTATCACAAGGTGATGTATCCGCTCAGATTAATGTAGGTTTAAACCTTTTTTATCAAGACGATTATCAAAGGGCCTTACGTATTTTCAAAAGCGTATTTGAAAAAAGAAAAGATATACTAGGATCAGATAATCCTGGCACTTTAGATATTCAGACATACATAGCTAGAGTGTTATGTGTACAAGGGGCTTATCAAGAAGCTTTAAATACATTTAAAGAAATTTTCCAGAAACAGAAAGAAATACTGGGTTTAAATGACAAGAATACTTTAAGTACAGGGAGTACAATTGCTTTAGTGCTGCATGGCCAAGGAAGGAATGAAGAAACTTTTAATATTTTTCAAGAAGTTTGTCCAAAGCAAGAAGAAATATTAGAACTAAATGATTCAAATAATTTAGCCACTTACTTTTGCATGGCACTATTATTAGATAAACAAGGTAAACACGAAAAAGCGTTAAATATTTGTAGAACAGTTTTTGAAAAAACAAAAAAAATATTAGGTGTAAATAACCCAACAGTTTTGCTTGCTCAAAGTAATATTGCGGAGGTACTGGCTCACCAGGGTAAGTATGAAGAGGCATTGAAAATTTATGAAGAGGTTTTCGAGAAGAAGAAAGTGGTTTTAGGTACTGAGCGTATGGGTACTTTGGAGACGTTACATAACATTGCTAAAATATTCGTCAAGCAAAAAAAATTTTATGAAGCCATGAAGACCTTTCAAGAGATTTGGAATATCCAGAAAAATGTTTTAGGAACAAATAACCCTGATACTCTGCTTACTCAATACAACATTGCAAATGTACTTTTTTTCCAAGGTAAAGGGATTAGTGCACTTAAAGCCTATGGAGAATGTTTTGATCAAATTAACACTGCTTTTGGACCAAATCATCCCATTGTTTTGGATATTTTAAACAAGGTAAAAGATATTAAATATATATTAAAGTCTACAGGCTACGAACCGCAAGATATTCTACATCTGCAGAAAGACATTAACATTGCTGCTAGTTATGGTGATATACAAAAGCTGTTCAGCGCTTATTAAAAGATGGAGCTTATGCCAAATGATAAAGACATTGATGGAAGAACAACGTTACACTACGCTGTTAGTAAGAACAGGCAAGTGTTGTGAACATCTTACTAAAAAATGGAGCTGATGTTACTCAAGTTACTAATAAAGGTGATTCACCATTACACACTGCTACTTCTAAAAGTTATAAAGAAATTGTTGAAGTTTTATTACAACATGTAAGTCATAAATTAAACAATTTTATCAATGCTAAAACCGCTGCTAGCAGCGCTACATTGTTTCGTACGTCGCAGTCAAGAATGATTTTTTGGATATTACCAAGTCCTAATTGAAGCGTGGTGCAATTTATAACATTAAAAATAATGAAGGTAAAACACTCTTGATATTTCTAAGGACCAAAATGTTAATGACTTACTGAAACTAGTTAAAGAATTGTTTAAAGATGCAAAAAAATGGTAATTTTGAAATGATCAACAAATTAAAAGTGATAAAACCGGATAAGTATATAGTTGTAACAAATGCTCGTAATAATCAAGAAAATACGTTATTGCAAGTTGCTATATAGCTAATGGACACAAGAATGTTGCGAGTAAATTGTCAGAAATGCTTAAAAAAGTGAGATGAAAATTAACAAGATGTCAATAATACAGAGAGAAATATTAAAATCTTAAAACTTTAATTAATGCTGTTGAATTATTTATATGTAACCTAAAAGTTAATTATTTTAATGAAATTGAGCATCAGTGGTTTGCTATCTAGTACGTTGAATATTAGACAATAAAATTTTACTTACGGTCGCAAAAAACTTTCAAGTTGATTTTACGTCAACACGGCTGGCGCAATCTCAAGACTGTAAACACACCAAAGATGGGCATACACTAACACGTTTTGGGAATGACGGGTGCTGCCCTCCGGTTATTAGTTTTTTAAATAAAGCCAAAGTGACAACGTGCCCCGCGTGACAACGTGCCCCGGTCTACCCTACCGAAAAAATGTATGCACTTTAAGAGTTAACTATAAATATCCACGTAATTAGTATGTACATTTTAACTGGGAGTAGGGGAGACCGGAGGTAACTCGACACTATTTTTTTAAAAGCAATTTTTAATATTTAATTAAAATTTTTAGGCAAATTCAATGGTATATATTTAAAGAGTGTTCCTTCAGGTACAAAATTGATTCAGAAAGTTTTGCTGTACGTCGCTTTGTTTTGCCGCCAGGAAAGGAAAAGTGACGCAAAGACAAATCGAATTGAAAAATGCCGGGGCAAACTCGACACCCCGCCGCGCCGGGGCAAACTCAACACTTTGTCTGATCGACACAATTTGATCTGGAACTTATTTTTTACTGTCTGAAAATGAAAATACATTGTTTATTGTGTATTTAAAAAGTACAAAAATTCGGAATAAAGTAGCTAAAACAATCATTTAAAATAATAAGAACAAAAATTGTTGAACTTTCAATTATCTTCATCTAAACTCATATCTGAAAAACAATTAATGCAAGTAAACTCGCGATCGGACGTGCGCATACATTTGTCATGAGCCATACGGTGCAGCCGACGGCTGTACCCGAGCACGACACGCTGCAAGAAAGACGCCTACCAACAGTTACGGATGACCGGATCCTGGCACAGCCCATCGTGAAGAAACAACGAGGACGAAAACCAACGGGGAAACCCGTATACAAAACAACGGGTGACGCAGAGGAGCGGATCAGCAGCCCGAACGAGACGGAGGAGGCACAGCGTCGAATTGTCCAAGCGGCAATCTGGGATGCGGCAACGGTCGCTGAGCGACGTTAAACCGTGCGAGAACCTGAAAACAAAAAGAAAACATGTATATATTGCGACATAAAAATATAAACGTTAATAATGGACAAAATAGGATTAAGAAATATATAATGGACAAACATAGATAGATAAGATTAAATAATAAGTGCGCGTGAAAATTATAATTACTGAGCAACGGCGTGCGACAAAGTAAAATTTACTTTCTACCATTTCTACCGATCCGAGTGAGCGGAGGCGAAATAAGCATAAGACAAAAATTGTTTATTTCGACAAGTAGATTAACAAAGGTCCTAATCACATTGACGATTAAACGAACCTGTAACCATAAAAAATGATATATCCTCATTTTCCAATTCCCCATATAGATATACATAAGAATAAGCTCGACGGACAAGAACGCGAATGCATTGATCGAGAGTAATAAAAAGTAGAGTCACGTGGATTGATTCAAAGATAAAATAGATTACGAGCAATCAGCTCAGCTAAAAGATAACTATTCGAAGTAGCATCAATGAAGTTTAAGAAATCATCATGATTTCCATGGGAACGAATAGTCGGAGTAATTTCGAGACGCGATCGACGTAAATGACCGATGCGCAGAGTAAATCACGCGAAAATCGCGAGACATAGCAAAAATTCCGGAATAATTGTCGATAAGCAGGGGTAAGATGGCAATCACGCAAATCGGGGGCAAATCCGTCATAATGACGAAAATTGCATAAGAGCACCGAGAAACGCCGGCATACCAAGTTTTACACCTCCGGGAAATTCGGGGGCAAAATGGTCACTAGGACAAGATAAAGGTAAAACCGGCAGGCATCGAAACGCATAAGAGGCCAGCATGGCGAGCCGAGCGATCGAACCGACGATCGAATAAGGTCCGGATCATCTAGGTTGACCTACAGCGGCGATAAAAAAGTTGACCTGTCCCACGGCAAACATGACAGACGTCTCAGACTGGGGGTTATAAAGACCACGCGAGGGGGTAGATCGATCGAGCGAACCGACGATACCCGCGGCGGTTTAATGATAAAAATAGCATAGTAGGGTCGTAAATATCACAGAGCCACCGTCAATCAATAGATTAGGGTGCGCGAAATACGCAAAACCGGTACCATGCCGTGAGGCAAGCAAATAAAGTGATATCGACGATCAATCACTAAATTATCGATATTACCGCGGTCGAGTCGTTAATAGGATCAAAGATCCACCGTCGAACGGCGCGTCGCACGGACGGAAAGTAGGGGAAGTCGAACCACGGAGGCGCGGTCGGACTATCCGAAGAATCCGTAGGATTAAAATTAGGATTTTGATAAATATGCATTGTAGGCGACTTCTGTAAAGATAATTGGTAGTCAAACGGCCAAACAAACGACGCCATCATGTGGAGGCGCGAACCACAAGCGAATAGAGATAACGCGTGGCATGCGAAATCGAATAACCGAGCAATGTAACGCGGAGACGATCATCATAAGTTATCATAGGAAAATTAAGCATGTTAACAAGCCCGAATAAACATTCGATGTTTGACGATAAAGTATGACGAGCGATACCACGATGCGATCGTATGCTACGTTGTGGGAGCGAATTAATATTAATATTGTTAACGCAGGGTTCCCTTTTCCTAAGAGATATCCGACAATTATTAGTATTTGAATTATCTAGAAGGAATAGAAGGATCTGGAAAACGGAATGCTGCGTATCTAGAACCATGTATTTGCGAAAGTTGTTGATCTGAAAAGTGAGAATAACATGTTTACGAGCGATCAATGAGCCCATTGTACGCGGCAACACCTGCCTCAGTGAACAATGAACTTCGGAATGCGGAAGCTACAAACGGCCACATCTGGACGGCAGGTGTACGTAACACCTGGACAACAGATGTGCCATACGGAGCGAAGTCGTGCCCAAGTGGGGATGCTACCGGGAGACCAGGAGCCGGAGCGAAACCCACCGATCGAGGAATTCATCGCTCGTAAAGTATCGCTCGTAAAGTATACGGCGGCTGACATAGTAACTTCTCGTGACGATCGAAACTTAGACTCTGCGTTGAACAATCCCGCGGTAGACGCGTTAAATCTCTTATAACTTCTGAAAACTTGTATTATCTGAAAATAGAATAAAATAGAGGATATTTTACTATTTGAAATAGAAATACTTAGAGTTGAAATTTATTTGAGTGCGGTTGAAATCTTACCTATACGTAACACTTACCTGATCCTGATACTTACCTGTCGGCGATCCCACATCCGTTCGGGGAGATCCAAGAAGCGTTCCAGCGAACGTCGTTTTTCACTTTTGTCACTTCAAAAACATGAAAATTTTGAAAATATCCAAAAACGATTATCGGATTCATATAGAGCATCAAATTTCCCATGAAAATCATTTACATATAGGTTTGCAAGAGTAAAGCTCGATGAAAGAATAGAAATTTTCGAGAGATCAGAAAAATTACTTTTCACCATCAAAAACGCTTATGTCGCGCTAAAAATTACACCACAACTCAGAATGTCATCAAATCCCGTTGATAACACTAGCACATAAAGACGCATTTACAGTAGGAAAGGCAAGTTTCTACGATAGATTTAAATTAGCAAAAAGTCTAGTGTCAAGTTTGTCCCGATGTCGAGTTAGCCCCGGTCTCCCCTACGTATTAATTTATAAGAAATCTTATTTATTTTTAATCATTGTTTTTCTTTACCGAGTACAGCATCATCGAAATTAATATTACTATTCAATATTGTATTTGCATTTGTAAATGTAAATATATTGCTTTATCAATGTGTAATTTATCAATTATATATCAATGTATTTTTATACCTATTTTAAAATAAATAAAATTTGTATTTTCTTTACTTATGTACATATGTGTTAACTTGAATATTTTTTAAAATAAATTAAATATGAGTAAAAAAAACTGTAAACTATAATTTTTCCTCAACAGTTAATATTTAATTATTATTATGCAAATTTAACTATGCTAAAATTAATTTGTTTAATCTTTACAGGGCGGGCAAGTTTTTTCATTAATTTTTATGATTTTTATTTGAAACTTCTATATATGTGTTGAAGTGTTATACCACAAAAAATAAGCGACCCCCGTAGAGCCTAAAAATAAGCTTCCTCTACAGGTTAATGTGAATTTTTTTAAACGTATTGGCCAAGAGTGGATTTTTATACATTACATTTTTAAATTTAAATTTTTATATTTATAAATATTTATTTAATTATATTTATAGCTTTTATATTTATAAATTTCAATTCTATAACATTATACTTGGAAATATATCAAACTCTGGTAGAAAAAGAATTAATAAATTAAAAATAAATAACGTCGGTGACTCGTCAACTTTTATCAACTCAAAACTTGAGATTCTCGAGATTCGAAATCATACATTTCTATAGTTCGAGAGAGAAGAAGACTGCAGATCATATGTTTGTCCTTCTCTACTTCTCAAAGTCTGTCGAATCAAGTGTCAAGCGTATAACGGATGTTAGTCGACTTTGCTTTGATGTGTGCTCGTGAAATTCTTATCACTTGCTGATACAACGTCATAGCGTGCGGACGAGTCATGAGGCGATCGTATAACTATAATTCTGGCACTTTATCCGCAACCGCGCGTATTACGTATGTGAGTTACTAAGGTGTAAAAGTAATTGTGAATAAGCAATTAAATAATAAAAGTTATTTGCCCGGTAGCAGTCACAGCAAGCGGACGTAATAAGTCTTATTGATAGATGCAGTGTCTTGCGACAGCGCGTAACACTGAAACAGCCCCGAGTGACGCCATTCCGTCTTGATACGTTAATTGGAAAGTGAATTTACTTTGTACTTAATTGAATTCAATATAGGTCTATTGCCGGGAGAACGTCGCGTCGCGTCGTAACGGATAAATTGCAAGGCGTTTTTTTTTAACGTTCTGACACTTAATCTGTAGACGCGTGATACGTATGAGTTACTATAAGAACACACAATAGAGATTGTGATTGTGAACAAATAAAGGTCACTTGCCGGGAAAAACAATTAGTACCGAGGTGCGAGATTTTTTACACAACGTGTAATCATCATTGCCGACTTATATCGAATTAATTACGGGTGTTCGTTACAATATTGCGTTGACATTACGATATTACGCGACATTGTGAAACACCTCCGATTAGTATTACGTGATCGAGTCATACGAAATTTGAGTGTGCGCATGCGAGTGTGGTGACTGTACGAGCAAGTAAGAGATAACTCACAATACTTTTTTTTAAGTGAATACGGTGTACAAGAGTACAAGTCGTCCAAACTTCTTCTCCTTTCGCATCGCACTGCTATTGCGTGTTAATATCTGAAAGTGTGAATTATTAACAGTTCTCTATTGTGAGGAAATAACTACTGTGGGAAATACTTACCTATTACTGAGAACAGTCGATACTCGTTCGGGATTAGATCCTGGTGGAGCGAGTACTCACTCGGTTGCCGTGACGTCGGTACCCGTAACAAAAGAAGAAAAGATTATCAATCAGCGGAATCCTTCTTGACGGTGAAATCAAGTGGCAACCATATAACGAGTGTTTATTATTTATAATCAGTAATTATTATTTATAATGTGATTCGGTCACAACATTAGCTTAAAAAAACACAAACTTAAATAATTTACATTTTTTATTCCGAAAAATATAAAACAAATTTACATCTCTCAGTATATATTGCAGGTTTATAGAACATTACTGGCAAATCTATTATTGTGCCTATGGTTGGCCTTTTTCTATTTCGCTTCCATTATCTAAAAACCTGTTATATTAGCCTTTATTGTTTTTAGCTTATTTAGACATATAGAAAGAAAATATTTCTTTATTCTTGCCATATTAAATAAATTTTGTCATTCTACTGCTGAAATAATTTCATCTTATTGTTAGAGAGGTTCACATATATAGAGAAAGAGGGACGCACACAAAAAATAACAAACTGATTCTTACCAGCCAAAATTTTCATCACTTACTTCTAAATCTGAAGAGGAATTTATAACAGAATATAAAAACTATGAAGAAACGAGCAAAAAAGTTTTATCTACAAGTTCTAATTGTACTCAACAAGGTAGTATCAGAGGATAAAGTAAAAATTTTAGAGTATTTATTTGATAGTGATGGTAAAATTCTAAATAATCTGTCTGTTGTTATTGGAAGAAAAACTATGAAAAAACTAGCAAAAAAACTTTATCTACAAGTTCTAACTGTACTGGAAAAGGTAGTATCAGAGGATAATATTGATAGCTTAAAAAATATAAGCAATAATATAAGTAATCCAGAAGATCAAATAACTTTAAGAAATTATTATGATAATGCCAGCAACCCTGTTAGAAGTACTAATTTAATTATCTTAGCCTGTAAACATAATAAAGTAAAAATTTTAGATAATCTATTTGATAGTGATAATAGAATTCTAAATAATCTGTCTGTTGTTATTGGACGAAACACTATATTACCACATGATGAAGATAAAACACGTCATAATGCGTTTTATTATGCTATACGATCACGCAATGTTGAGCTTCTTGATACACTCATTAGTAAATGGCCAGGTAATTATTTTTCTGTTCATTTAGCAGAATTGGATGAAATCCTTTCAAGAGCATATGAAGAATTAAAGTTAAAAAATGTACCATTGTCAGACAAAATGGAAATTTTTGTTCAAAATAAGTTAATAAATCTCCGTTTCTTTTCCAATACTCCTCGACCAGAATGTGAAGATCAGAATGTAAAGAGTTGTCTTAATAACATCAGAGATCGGATTGAATTAACACTTCAAAGCATTAGCTGGCTAAAGAAACATTACTCAAACTCGAAAAAAGTAGATGAAAAATTTTTATTTGTAGCAAAATTTATCGCAAAAAATATTCATATATTAAAGCGGCAGTTGAAATCAACCTATGATAGATTACCTTGGGAAGAAATGGAATTTTGTTTAGTCAGTTTTGTTTTCTCTCACACAAAACGAGAAGAAATTAATCTATTTTATAATGCTATATTGAATAATAGCAAAATATTAAATCACTTAGAAAACTTTGCAAAAAAACTGAAAACAAAAGATGAAGAAGAAAAACTTAAAGAAGAAAAACATAAAGATGAAAAGAAGATCTTAAAAAAGAAAAACATAAAGATGAAAAAAAAGAACTCAGAAAACTTTGCAAACAAACTTAAAGATGAAAAAGAAAGTGTGAACATTAATAAGCTTCCAAACTTAACACGCGAGGATGTTGTTGCAAGGATTATTAGTAGAGATCCTCAATTTAAAGAATTGTATACCGATTATCAACAAATTAGGGATATTTATTCTTTAATGAAAATAAGTAATTATATAAAGTTGGCGTTATCGGCTGATTCTAAAGAGAGGGAAGGACAGTTAATTATTACAAGGGTTTTACAGGTTATCGGTGAGCATTTAAAAAACACTTTAGAATCCCCTAAGTTATCTAATACTACAAGTGAGCTCTTGCTATTATCGTTACCAAAAGATACAAGAGAAATAATTAAAGGTTTACGTGATTCACTATCACATGCTCATTCACTCTCCAAAAGAATAGAAATTGAGAAAAATACAGATGTTACTTTTCTTGCTGGTGTTCAAAATGATATTAAAAAAATCGATATTGTAATTACTGATATTCTTTATAGTAGAAAAATTCAAACGCTTAGAATGCTTCTAGAAAAAATTGCTGATAGTAAAAGCTTAAGCAGTGAGATAAAAAAATTTGCTGAAATATTTAATAATGCTGAATTGGATGAAATAATACCTGAAAATTTTAAAATAATAGAATATGAGAAACTTGGAAAACTCATTAAAGAATTAAGCGATAATATAACTGACAAGACGGATTATGAAAAGAAATTATTTAATGAAATTAATGACATAATCCATTGTGCAGAACCTCAATCAAAAAATATCAAAACTGATTATATCACAGGATATAAAATAATGAAAATCAATTTCAGTAAAAGATTTAAGATTGAAAACAACGCTATTAGTGAAATTAAATGTTTTGCTAATAGAATATCAGAGAATATGACTATAAAAACAAAGCCTAATAGCCTTAAAGAAATTCCTAAGTTGTTCACAGAAATTTATCATAGTATTGAGCCAAGAATTCAACGTAACAATCTTGATAAATTAATTTACGAAATTTCTTTTTATATTTTTGAATTTGAAATAAGTGGCATAAAATGGATTAAGAAATTCTGGGAAAAGTTGAATAAAAAAGTTTCGTTTACTTCTATACCAGGAAAGACTTACAATATAACAAAAGATGAATATAGTAACCAACTTGAACTAAAACTATCTGAACTGGAAAATATTTTAACCAAAAATGCATTGAATGATCAATTTATTAAAAAATTACCTTTCTATAAAAGTAATAAAAAATTGCAAGCAGTAGTAGAAATGCTTGTTCTGGATATAATGTCAATTTTAGATAGCTTAAAGCATAACTTAATAAAGCAAAATAATGTACTCTTTTTAGATGCTAACACTCCTTTATTAATTGGAAAATGTTTACGTAATCATTTAGCACATGATAATGCCTTAGTTAATGTATTGCTATTTGATCCTTTAATAGCAGTTGTTTTGAACGCTAAAAAACTTATTGAAGAAAATAATAAAAGCAAAGAACAAATTGACGAGAAAGATATAAAAAGCAAAAAAAAAGTTGGTGAGTTAATAAGCGATAATTCTTTCAATTTGACAGAGAAATACTCTCAAGACTTAGATACCATTACTAATCAGGAAAGAATGTTTGCTGCTTTGGAAGAAGGAAAGCCAAACAACTTCAAGGATTGTCTCGAAAAAGGTGCAGACATTAATGCTAGAAGTATTAATTCATGGACCACGTTACATTTTGCTGCTAAGGGATCCAGTCCTAAAGTTATAAAACTTATTCTTGATCAAAGTTTAAGCGTTAATGTGAAAGATATTAATGGTCAAAGCCCATTACATATTGCTGCTGAGCATGGAAGGAATAATATTGTAGAATTTTTTATAAAGGAAGGTTTATATATTAATGATTTAGATAACAGTGGCAAAACGCCATTACATGTTGCTGCTCAAAACGGTCACGAGAAAACTGTCGTAGTTTTATTAAATAATAAGAAAGCACATACTATTGCCCGAGATAAAATTGGTCTTTCACTTTTACACTATGCAATAATAAATAATCATATAGGTGTTACTAAGATTTTATTGGAAAAAACTGAAAATGCTTATAAAATGCTTAATGAAATGATAGGTAACTTAACCCCGTTGCACGCAGCTGCACAGAGAGGTTATCTAGAGTTAGTTAATTTCTTGCTCCAAAATAATGCAGATGTAAACGTTATAAATGTAGATTGGACACCATTACATTTAGCCGCATCTAATGGCCATTTGGAAGTAGTATGTGCTTTAATCCAAAAAGGAGCTCATGTTGACGCTAGCGGCATAAGTGGTTTTACATCATTACACTATGCAGTAGATAAGGGTCATGCAAAGATAGTTAATATTCTATTGAAGCATAAAGCTAATGTTAATGCTGTTGACAAAACCCGTAATAATACACCTTTACACTATGCAGCAAAATATGGGCACGAGGAAATAGTTAAGACTCTACTAAAAAATAATGCCATCGCTAGTATTGCCACTGCTACAGGTGTGACTCCATTGCATATTGCTGCCCAGAAGGGTTATCTAGGAATAGTTGTTGCTCTACTTGACCATGATGTTGACATTCATGATAAAGTTGATATTTGTGCTAAAGATCAAGATAACATTACACCATTATATTGTGCAGCAAAAAGTGGCCATAAGAAAATTTCTGAACTTTTAATAGAAAGAGGAGCAGAAATTAATGCTAAAACTAATAATAATTTAACACCACTACATACAGCTGCTATGAACGGCCAAATAAACATTGTTAATCTTCTAATAAAAAGTAAAAAAACTGAGGTTGATGCAATAACTGATGACGGTAGTACACCGTTGCATCTAGCTGCTTTTATCGGCCACATAGACATTGTTAAGTCTCTAATAGAAAGTAAAAAAGCTAAGGTTGATGCAATAACTGTTCACGATAATACACCGTTGCATCTAGCTGCTTGTAACGGCCACAAAGACATTGTTGATCTTCTAATAACAAAAGGAGCTAAGGTTAATGCAATAACTAATGACGGTAATACACCGTTGCATATAGCTGCTGCGAAAGGCCACAAAGACATTGTCGATTTTCTAATAAAAAATCAAGCTAACGTTAATGCAACAGCTAAAGACTATGATACACCGTTACATATTGCCGTGAAAGCAGGTCATAAAGAAATCGTTGAGATTTTGGTAACAAAGGGAGCCGATGTTAATGTTAAGAGCGACAACATAACACCATTGGTTTCTGCTATAAAATATAATCAAAAAGAAATCGTTAAAGTTCTTATATCAAATGAAGTTGAAGTTAACGAAGAAGGCTTAGCTTTATTACTAGCAGTTCGTTCTGGATATACAGATATTGTAGAAATTTTGTTAAAAAACAGAGCTTATGTTAATGTGAACGATCTTGGAAATGCTGCATTTTTGCATTTGGCTGCTGGTAGAGGTCATAAGGATATAGTGAACGCTCTGATAACAAAAGGAGTTGATGTTGATGCAACTTATAGTAATTTAACACCATTATGTTTTGCAGCACAAGAGGGTTATGAGGAAGTAGTTGAGATTTTAATAGCACGTGGCGCTAACTTTAATTTTATATCTGACGAACATGTTACACCATTACATCTGGCAACAACAAGTGGTCATGGTAATGTTGTAAAAGTTTTACTTGATAATAAAGCAAATATTAATGTTAAGAATAATGAGAATAGAACTCCTCTAGAATTAGCAGTGGCACATGGTCATTTAGAAGTGGTTAAAATGTTACTACTGCAGGACTACAAAAAAATAGATATAAATGCTAAAGGTAACGATGATTGGACGATATTGCATATTGCTTCACAAAGAAATAACTTAGAGATTATAAAATATCTAGTAGATAAGGGTTCTAATGTTAATGCTACAACTGCCTTTGGTTTAAAACCTATACACATTGCAGCGGTAGAAGGTTGTAAAGATACTGTAGAGTTTTTCTTTAGTAAGGGGTTAAGTATTAATGAACTTGATGCAGCTAATAAGACATTACTACACTATGCAGCATTGAAAGGTCACTTGGAAGTTGCGAAGTATTTGATAACACAAGGCGCTGACATTAATGCTAAAGATACTGATGGCTTAACTCCTATGCATATTGCTGCTAATTGTGGTTATAAAGACGTTATTGAAGTTTTATTAAAAAATGGAGCAGTTTATAACGCTGTTGGCAAGTTTCATATAATACCGTTACAAATATCTAAGGATAAAAACGTTTTCAATTTATTAGAATCAACTAAGAAATTGTTCGAGGCTGTAAAACGTAATGGCTCTTCAGATGTTGAGAATTACATTAAAGCAGGGGCGGTCGTTAACGCCAAAAATGTTAATGGAACATCATTACATTATGCTGCGTGGAAAGGCTATGACAGTATTGTCAATATTCTATTACAAAATAAAGCTGATCCTAATGCAGTTGATAAAAAGGGATTTACCCCTCTACATTATGCTGCTAAGTTTTGTCGCTTAAAAGTTGTAAAACTCCTATTATCTAATGGTGCAGTATATAATGCAGTTTCTGATGGTAAAACACCATCAGATTTTACTGTAGATGAAAGTATTACTCGCTTATTTCAATTACTGCGTGACTCTTTTAAAAATATTAAAAATAATGATTCTCGAGTTATTAATGATCTTAACAAGATAAAGGATATTGATACAGTAAAATCAATAATGAATGCTCGTAATGAAGAGAACAAAACTCTAGTAGTTTCTGCAGTGCATAATAACTTTTCAGAAGTCGAACAGTTGAAAGAAGTATCACAAGATGGTGTATCCGCTCAGATTAATCTAGGTTTAATGTTTTATAATCGAGGCGATTATCGTACGGCTTTATGTATTTTCGAAAGCGTATTTGAAAAAAGAAAAGAAATACTAGGATCAGATAATCCTGGCACTTTAGATATTCAGACATACATAGGTGATGTATCATATGCACAAGGGGCTTACCAAGAAGCTTTAAATACATTTAAAAAAATTTTCCAGAAACAAAAACAAATGTTGGGTTTGAATGATAAGAGTACTTTAAGTACAAGAAGTAAAATTGCTTTAGTGCTGCATAGACAGGGAAGGAATAAAGAAGCTTTTAATATTTATCAAGAAGTTTGCCAGAAGCAAGATGAAATACTAGGGACAAATCATTTAGATACATTAGATAGTCAGTTTCACATGGCACTAGTATTAGATGCACAAAGAAAATACGAAGAAGCGTTAAATATCCATAGAACAGTTTTTGAAAAAAGGAAAACAATATTAAGTGCAGATGACCCATCAGTTTTGTGTATTCAAAAAAATATAGCGGTGGTACTGGCTAACCAGGGTGAGCTTGAAAAGGCATTGACAATTTATAAAGATGTTTACGAGAGGAAGAAAAAGGTTTTAGGTATTGATCATGTGAGAACTTTGGAGACGTTACGTAACATTGCTGTAATACACGACAAACAAAAAAATTATTATGAAGCCCTGACGACTTTTCATGAAGTTTTAGATAAAAGGAAAAAAGTTTTGGGAGAAAATCATCGTGAAACCTTGAATACTCAATACTGTATTGCAAATGTACTTCTTTCTGAATTTAAATTGATTGATGCACTTAGAGTCTACAGAGAATGTTTTGGTAAAATGAAAGATATTTTTGGACCAAGTCATCCCACTGTTTTGGATATTTTAAACAAGATAAAATATATTAATTATATATTTAAGTTTACAGACATTGAGCCGCGAGATATTCTAGTGTATCTGTAGAAGGACATTACAACATTCAATGTTATTAATGAAAATAACAAAACGTTAAAATGTGACATTTCACCGATGAAAACAGCAATTACCACTGCTATGATTGCTCAAGATATGGAGCAGAATGATGATTGTATACATATTTGGTACAAGCTACAAGCGAGATATAACCAAAGAGGATAAGGCAAAACGAATAATAAATTTAGATAAAATTATTATACCTATTTCCATTGTGAGACAGAATGTCTTGTCTGGCAACAAACTAACGAACGAATCAATAGATGAATTTTTACGCATTGTAAGGCAAAGTACTCCTTTTAAAACGCAAAGTGTACACTATCAAGGATTGCCTAATTATATTGACGCTAGTAAAAGCGACAATAGCTTACATATAATTGGAGTAAAAAATCAATGCTCTGCAGAGGGAATTGAACACTGGCGATGTATATTTTGTGATGGCACCAAACTGTTCGTATATGACAGTATATCTGGCTGTACATACGACAAATTGGTGCTCAAGGAAAGAAAATATATAAAGCGTCGATATGAAAAAATAAGGCAAAGTGATATTATTTTTGAGAAAATATATTGTTTAGATAAAACATGTCTCAATGAATAAAATATTTTTTCGGTATTGCAAAACTAAATGTCAGAGCGTCTGTTCTGACGCTACTGGCAAAATAAAATGCCACAAACGTTTATTCGGACGGTACTGATTATAATAAAAATCAGATGCGTCTATTCTGACGCTACTGGCAAAATAAAATGCTACAAACGTTTATTTGGATGGTACTTATTATAATAAAAAACAGATGCGTCTGTTCTGACGGTACTGACAAAGTAAAATGTCAGAAGCGTCTGTTATGACGGTACTGATTATTAGAAATGTATCATTTCAAAATTAAAATCGGAGAGACGAACATAAATATATTGGGTGCGTTCTCACGGGAATGGGCGTTGAAGTGGCCCATTCTATAGTATCAATAATCAAAATCACATAATTTAGATCCTTTTTGTACATTTGAAAAAAAAATGTGCTGTCCATGTATTTGTCACTTGATTATATAAATATATAAACAGTACGTATAAGATGGACAAAATAAAGCGTAACAAATTTTTATCCTCACAACTTTATTTGCAGAGAAATATGTTTTAAACAAAAGTTGTTTGCTTTGAAGAGGGACACAGGATTGCCTTGTGTCATTTTCAAAAAATAAGGGACTAATTTCTTATGGAACTTGATTTTTTCCTTCACATGAAAGTTGTACATCTCGTCGAGACATTTTCGAAACACTGTAATAAAGCTCTCTTTCGTTAGAATGTTCTGAGATATCTTAAATTTTGTCATAGTTTTTATAAAAAATGTAATGTCTCGTAGAATATTCACTTTTCGATGACTGTACCTTCATACTTGTATACATAGAATAACGAAATGAAGCAAATAATAATAATATTTTTGACATTTACAATTTTGCAAAATGAAGCAATTAATAATAATATTATTTTTAACATTTACAATTTTGCAAAATTGAATGCATGTACGAAATGCAATCAAGTTTTTAAAAATAATTTTTGCCTTTTTTCAACAAAATCTATTCTTTTTATTCTATGTAGAAAAATATCAAGGCAAAATCCTCGAAAAACGAATATCATGACAAAATTTTAAATATCTTAGAAACGAAAGCTTATTTTATCGAATTTTTCGTTACCAATCTATTGAAAATTGTTTATGCCTGAAAAAGACTTATCTTAAGAAATATATTTGTTTTCGTTGATAATTGTAAAAAAACTAGTTTAAATAACATTAAATTGAAATAAAAGCAAAACACTGAAAAACCGTTTAAAACCATCCAACTTGCGTAAACGATATCTCAGTCACTATTGGTCGTAAAAATGTTTTCGACCCCACATTTTTTCGTTAGAATGTCTACTTTATTTTATCTCAGAACAAAAAAATCACTTCTAGCACTAGACTGCTAGAACAAAAGTTGTATGCAAAAATGTAAAAAGAATCTTTTTTTCCAAATTTTCGCTATTTTTTAATTCCGTTTTAATCTTATTTCTTGGGTTTCTAATATCGCCTAAAATTTTTTTATATACACGTACATTCGATGCAAAATTTTATTTCCTACAAAAAAGTTCTTTTGTACATTTTTCGTATTTTGCGTCATTTTCGAGATATTCCAAAAACAATGAAAAATAATATTTTTTGTTAATATCTCAGAAGTGCACCCCTTAATTTAATAGCATTTTCGTTTTTTAAGTTATTTTAGTGTCGAATGATTGTATGAATCAATAAAATTCCATTAAAGAATTAGTTTCTTTTAAAAACACATAGACAATAGCCTATAAGCGAATGTAACGCGTAATAGTCTCAATATTGTAGGGTGCAGAATTAGGAACAAGAGCGATGTTATAAGCACAGTTGATCAAGTGCTGTGTAATAATTATTATGTTATATATTTATTACATTATATATTATACATTTATTTTATTATAATTTATTACAAATTCTAATTTTTGTGCTTTTTGTAACAGTGTCATACAGATATATGTAACATGTTCATAACTTTTACTCATAATAATATACAGGGTGTCACTTGATTCGCGCTTACTACTTACTACACAGCGATATTCCTTATCAAAAATTGAGTCGAAAAGTCTTGAGCTATTTTTTTTCTATAATGTTTTTAATAAAGCAGTAATTATTGAATAAAGTCAATGCAAATAGTTATCGTTAGGACGAAAAGAAGAATGGAAAGTCTCGACTTTTTATCGACTTCCGACGAGTCAATGAAGTCACAAAAATAGACGCATATCTCTCGTTACGGATCTTCGCAACACTCGATAAGTTGCTGGAAACTTCGTGTCTTTCAATGCTGAACCTGAAAAACGGATATTGGCAAGTGCCTTTATCTCCAAAAAGCAGAAAAATTACAGCGTTTATCATGCTCAGTAAAAGCCTGATGCAATTCACGTTCCAGTTGAATACCGTACTCGGACCAGAGCTGGAGCTCAACGTGTTTGTCTGCCTAGGTATCATTGTTAGCCAAACCTTCGACAAATACCTCTGCGTATTACAATAAGAAATATTCCACTGTCTCCGAAAAGCGCGCCTCCGACTCAAACCCGACAAGTGCCGCTTCTGTATCAATCGCATTAACTATCTCGGACACCTTATTTACTGCGAAGGAGAACATCCGGATCGACTTGAGAAGATCAGTGCCATCACCAACTGTCCCGTTCCACAAAATGTATGGTAAATATGACAGCTTTCTGGGCGGAGTGGTACCTTGGTATTGCTATGATTTATTAAAAGATTCGCCATCATTGCCGCCCCACTTATCGCACTTACACAACAACAAGCCGCAAATGAATCTGGGAAACCGCCGAATAAATTGCGTTCAATCAACTTCGAAGCAAACCTTGACCGATGCTGATGTGTCCCAACTTCAGGCGGCAGTTCATTCTACAGACAGATGCCCAACGGGATTGATGGCCGTCTTGACACAATACATTCCGGAAGGAGAGCGGATGATCGCAAACCGCACGCTCAATAAGTCCAAACGTAATTATCTGGACTGGAGTATCTGGCCGTCGCCGTCGTCTGGCGCATAAAGTGGATGCGTGGCTAGAGAGATACCATTTCACTATTATCACCGATAATTAATTTTTACGGTGGCTCCAAATGCTAGAATTCCTGACCGGATGGTTGATCCTTCAAAATCCAGTAATACAATTTCGAATTGAAATAGTAGGTCACTCTTGGTCACTCAACAAGGCCTGTCACGTCAAACTGAGATCCACGCCGTTACCAAACCATAAAGTGTCCATGATACCAATGCACGTAGCACTCCGCGAAGACTGCACCCCAGAAAGTACCGGACTTCAAGATAAAATGCGACTGACTGTTCAAGCATGTGCTGCACAGCTTTGACTTTAAAGAAACGCCGGCGGAGGGACAGTGGAAAGAGTGCATTCCCAAGGAACAACGGATCTCGAACCGCTATCATGCATCCACCGTCAGATATTTGGATATCTGGGAACAGCTAAAACAATTGCGCGAATTGCAGTATATAATTCTACTTAACCCGGCATGTTTCGCGACATTGCACAGTATACGTGTGGCAATGCCAGAACTGTCTCGTGCACAAGGCCCAGGGAAAACCCCAGGAAAAATTAAGACTTCTTAATTTGTTTTGACGAATACTACATGCTCCTAAAATTTGGTACTTTTTTGGACACCCTGTATATTAATTATTCTAAAATTTCTTAAGTATTATTTTTATTATTTTATAATAGTTATTTGAATATTATAGATTTACTAAATAATATAATACATACAAAAGCATCAACAAATACAAATACAAATATTATAATTTTCTTAGAAGATTATAATTACTAGATAATTACTAAAGAAATAAATAATTTTGGAAGTATGTTTATACATGTATAATATATATAAACATCTTATAGAAATAGCGTTTGCTACTTATAAAATGTTATAATTGCAAAATACATTACCATACATCAATATCTAGAAGAAAGAAAAATACATATAAACGTTCAAATATCGTTGACATTATTAACGTCAATAAGGAAATGTCAAATTCGAAAGAAATTAAAATAATTTGAAAGAAAGATAAAAAAAATTGGAATTTATGTTGAAGAAGAAAGATGTTGCGGAGGTAAATATGAATATTAAATACGGCACTAAATAATTTTTTTCACAAGCAACATCAAATTTTGTATTCTATTTTATAAAATATGGTATTATTTAATTAAAGTTATAAATTATTTTATTGTTAAATTAATTTACATGCACATTTTTTTATGTTTTTATTGGTACTTTTGATTGAAAATAAATTTCATACCACGATTTAAATTTCAAATATAAATATTGTAACGTGACAAGTCGCGTCCGCCACCCGGATGGGCTCGGCCGAGAGGAAGTTCAGAGGTGCTTCCTCGCTCGGAGCGGGGGAGGGCAATTGCGCCGCTTCGGCGGAGTTAGTAACGAACATTTAAGATTATTTTAAGAGGATTGCCGGTTTGGTGACCGAACCACATTGTAACGACCTTGAGTCGCCACGAGGGAAGAGACAGAGGACGCACTCAAGGAAACGCCTGAGGAACATGGCCATCGGTCGGGTCTCGCCCGGACTTCCTCGCAAGAGCAATATCGGAACCCACCGTACGATAGACGACCCTGAGCTCGGCCGCCGCAGAGGAAACCAAGAAAGCCTGAAGGACGCCCTGACGAAGTGAAACAGGGTGCGACGTCACGGCCCAGGGAACGTGCACGACTCTCTGGCCGCCACCCCGAGGGGCCACCGGTAGAAGTGATGGCCATCTATCGTGCCGGACTGAGCAAGGCGAACACCTTTGAGCTGCTGATCCGGACATTCTGCGGACGACATCAATTCTTGTAAGGTCACCACTCTGGCGTTCCCGCGTAAGTGAGGATTCGTTCGAGGCGATGGCTCCGGTCTATATCGCGTTGTAGGGTACCTTGGATTATCTATTACTTGTTGTCTGGTGAATAAGCGCCTACTGGTATCTTGCGCTCTCCTTTGTCGAGAAGTGTGAATTGGAGCTCACGAAGGGGCCCCGCCGAGAACGAATCCTCCTGTAAGTAGAGATCACGTACGCCTTCCCCGGGAAACGCCGTCGCGGCCGACAGTCACATTGCGTTATTCGGTATTCTGTGGTAAATGTAGCATTGTATGGTATTCGGAGTAAATGTTAGAGTTGCGATTGCGCAATTCGTGGTGCGAATTCGAGCGGTCACGCGGTAATTTATGTTGTAGTGATTGCGTTTCGCGTTGGTGTGAATGTAAATATTGCGTCTTGCGTTGGGTAAGACCGTAGAGTCGTCGGGATTGGCGCGGTGCCGTGGAATCACCGAGTTTCGCGGGAAATCTCGGGATTCGCGTGACAACCCGCGAAATCGTCCGCGATTCGGATCATCTTGCGTTTGGAGATATCCGAGACGAGGACGATCGTCTGCTGGTGGGTCGGCACGGCGAGATCGCCCGCAGTTGAATTAGGTTGCGATTTAAGTATTCGTGAGTATATCGTTGCGTTGTTGCGTGTGCGTCGTGTGATAGATTCGTGCAATGAGTATGCGTGAGTATAATTGCGTGGTATGCTCGTTGTGTTATTCGGTATAAGTGCGTGGTAGGCTCGTTGCGTGTTATTCGGTATTTTGAGTCTTTTGTGATTCGTGTTCGCGCGGGAGGCGGTTCGCCGCTCTTGTATTCGTTTTCATATTTCTCCTTATATCTTTTCTAATATCTATGATAGTTTCAAATATATTATCCTTATTTTATTTACTTGTGTATGATTAATTGCCCCACGCCACCTCTCCAAATATCCAGAAAAAGGAACTACACCCTGAGGTATTGCGTTAAGTTGATTGTGCTAAGGTATCGTACGGTGGTGCGAATATTCGCGCCTGGTGCCCATTATTGCGTTTGGGGAAAACGGCTTCGGTTATCTGGCAATTCTCTGCGGGCATCCGCCCGCGTTACCTTGAAATCTCTCAACCTAACTTAACGTTTTGGAAATCCGCGACTGCCCTCCTCCGGATAGCGAGACCGTAGGAAATAGCGTCGCAATATAGTGTATATATATATATATATATATATATTCATTTCATTTCAATGGCGCAACAGTCCGAGTCGGACCTAGGCCTCCCCCAAAGTCATGTGGTGCGCACGCAGGATGTACATGCACAAGCACATGTTTCAAGGCAAGAGATACTCCTGACGAGCTGCCACATTCCGTCGATATATATTATAATATAATAATTAAGGTCAAGTCAAATATGATTATATAAAGATGAGATTATATCGTGCCAAATTTCGGATATAATTATATATAATTATATTAAATTACATGTTATTTAAATTTTTTAATATCTAATAATGTATTTTTACATCTGATACATATTAAACTCACTTTTTTTCGGGTACTTGTAATGCCAAAAAATCATGTACAGGTCAGATTTTGAATGTTTGTTTATAATACGTTTTGTTTACGATATAGCATTTTATATCACGACCGTCAATGATATAATTGAAGATTTTTCGCGATCAAACGCTCACTTTGGGCGTACTAGCAGAAAAAGTACTCTCAATAACAGACGTGATTGCGTTGTGTTGCGTTTTTATAAAATATACAGGTATATCTTCTCAGAGAAAAAAATTTGTTAACTTAATTAAATGCATTTAACTGATTACCAGTTTTTCAATTAAAATATTTAAGTATTCATGTTATGTACAACATATTAAATCTAACATAACACAATTTGACTTAAATACTTAAATATTAAAAAAAATGATAACTAGTTGAACGCGCATTTAGTAAAGTTAACAATTTTTTTTCTTATTGTACTACCGAAATAAAATTTTCAATAAAATTATTTTGGTATTAAGTTCCTGATTGGAAATAATCGTCATTGTAACTATTTTTTTTCGTAACTTTGATCGAACTTTTTCTCGAGTTATGCGATTTGTTTTGTATTCCTAATTTTACCTGGATATGCTGGATAGACAAACACAATTTCCTTTATGATTTAGCTTATTGTCAG